TAAGTCGCTCGTGAGGTTTTCGTGTTGTAACTTTGCCTTTTCATGTGCACGAAGAGTGTTTTTCACCTGGGTGTGTGATCACAGATCGGAGAGGGGCCAACGACGGTTCAACGAGTCACCGTTCAGTCTGTTGTTGTCTGAGCCGATCGGCCGAGCAGCTGCACCTCCAGCGTGTTGAACACAGAAAACATTGATTATTTACTCACATTATCAACTTGACCTCAGCCGCTTTGACTGAAGCCGTTTAATCTGTGACTCAGCTGTGTCACGGCGTTGTTTGTTTTTCCTCTGTGGCGACATTTCACGCTTCGGACCCTTAAATCTGCGAAGACACCCGTGACGATCTGATCCTGTTCCCCTGTGACAGCGCTGATGTGCAGGCGCCGACAGAATCTTATTATGACACGAGTCCTACGAAGTGTTTTGGATTCTTAGACTTTGGTTTTTTGTGCCTCTGATGCTAAATCGATGCCAGAACCCAATTTCGGGACATTTTTTCCGAAGTTCATATCTGACGTGTCACATGTGTCCGCCCGGTGATTGACTGGATGTCCGTTACCAGCTCAGATCCTCCGTTGACACCTCGAAGGACGAGCGGTAATAGAACAGAATATCTGAGGAGACGCCGCTCGGCTTCATATACTGCACTTTGTCTTCTATTGTGCTTCAGCAGGACACACAGTTGTGCGTTATTTCTTACATAACACAGAGTCACGTTCACCGACTCTCGGGTAGAGAAATGAAGAGATGCTTATATAATGTGGACAGAGTTGACAACAGCTGACAGTTCTTACACTGTTCAAAGAAGTTAAGTCAGGCTTTCCTTCCAGCATTTGTTCCCAAATCTGTGTGTGTGTGTGTGTGTGTGTGTTTGTGTGTGTGTGTGTGTCAGTCACATGCTCAAACACACAGTGGATTTACTCTCTAACTTGGACCCCACATGGAGGATTACAAATATGTTTGGGCACATTCTGGACACACCACCTGTGACGGCTCAGCGTTGAGTCACTGTGGGGAGAACACACACAACACACACAACACACACTCAACACTCAGATCTTTTGTGGGGACCTAAATCTGTCTCTGTCCTTATGGGGACAAAAAGCAAGTCCCCATAATGTGAATCATTAGATTTTAAGACATGTTTTCAGATTAGTTCAGGTTCAGATGAGGATTCAGGTTAAATTTAAAGTGAGGGTTAGATAAGTGCTAATGATGGTTAAGATAAGAGACGTGTGTCAGAAACATCTGCCATTTTTTCCAGTGTACACACACACACACACACACACACACACACACACACACACACACACACAGGTGGACAACTGTAAACAAAAATCAGCCTCTGACACACTTCACGCTCTGTTGACTTTCCTCATTGATTTTGTTTCAAAGCACAAGGTACAGTGTGTGTGTGTGTGTGTGTGTGTGTAAAAAGGAAACAGAACTTCTGTTTCTCTACTTCTAGTTTTGTGCATCTCTTATTGGATTCATCGTGTTTATGGACGTTGACCTTGTTTTCCTTGTGTGTGTTTTGGGGATACATATAATTTCCTGTTTTATTTTGAAACTTACTGTACTCTTCCTGTCTTGGTCTCCCTACACCCTCACATTGTGCCGGGTCTGACAGCGAGGCCGTCCTGCTGCCTCGGGGCCGGGGACATTGTGTTCGTCACCGCCGTCCTTCTCATCAGCACCGTGCGTGTTACGTCACGCAACCACTATTTTTATAAGATAGAAGACCAAGGCGCTTTGGTCACAGATGAGTCACAAGCAGCGAGTCTCGTCGCAGCCTTGAGCCTTTATTGTGTTTGCATAACTCTTCTTCGGTAGATCGTGAAGTGTGCTCACAGGGACGGTGTTTCACGTGTGGTTCACGTGTGTTTCACGTGTGTCATCTTCAAAGTTAACTGTGCCCGTTTAAGGAAAATGTACAGATTTATAACAAAGTTCTATAAAACCTAAGTAAACACAAGCCGAGGTAACGAAGGTGCGAAAAGCAGCTGCAGTAAAGTGACAGAAATAAAAAAGTGTGATAGATAAAATGAATATTTCAGTGTATTGATGACAGATATGAAGGTTACTGCAGTATTTTGATAGAAGCTCTGTGTCGAGAGGCTGCTCTGCTGCATGAACCGACCCCCCCCCCCCCCCCCCCCCCCCCCCCAGCGCATCCTGACCTTTGTGCTTCAGAGGAGAAGCTCATTGCTCACTCAGATCTGACCGAGGACGACTGTCTGTGCGTTTCATTAAAGCCGTAAACCAACACACAGTTTCCACACGTCGGCCGCCTTCATTCAAATTAGAACTAACTTTATCTCTCGAGTTTAAACATCCACCAGCTTCAGTGTTTGTTTTTGCGTCACATCCACACCGGCGTCGGCCCTTATCACCGAAAGCTCTGGAATCTCCTCGTCTATTTTAATTCTTCCAGTGTCACATCGAATCACCAACACGCCCTCTCGCTCGCTGACATTTCTCCTGCTGTATTCTTCCTCTGACATTTTCTGGAAATTCTGGCAAAAGGAAAAGTTCAGGAAAATGAAGAGCAACTGACTCAGACTTCTGGGTTCTCACATACCTCTGGAAAATATGCAGACTTCAGCTCCTCTCTGAAAAGCAGCTCTAGGAGACGAGCAGTCACACCTACAGGGATTCTAGAGTTTCTGTTTAATCTGTGCTTGTTTTTGGATTGTGGGAGGAAACTGAAGAACCTGGAGAAACTCTCAAAACCTGGACGAACAATTGATTGACTTAAAAAGTGCAGAGTTGATTTTTATTTTAAACTTTACCTGAGGGTTTCCTCAACGAGGGGTTATAAATATATATATATATGATAATAACTAATAATTGCCTGTAGTCATGTGGCTTGTCGGTGATGGAGGAAGGAAGGTGGGCGGACAGGGAGACCTCAGCCTCAGTCTCTGGTCCTCTGAGCGTCCAGGAGCTCCTGCGGCGCTGTCATCACCTCCGTGTGACAGTCAGACGAGCAGCACGTCATGTGGGGAAGACAACGTCCTCCACGTGATGTCGGGGGGGAAACTCTGAACTGTTTTCAGCGTCTTGTTGTGTTGCGTGAAGATAAAACTCGCTGTCACGTGTGTGTGTGTGTGTGTGTGTGTGTGTGGTTCCTGAATTAAAAGGGAACTAAACCAGTCACATAGAATCACTTTACTAGTCATGGGAAGAATTATTCACCCTGTGAGAATAAATGTATGATATGGTTTAAAGGCTTTTTTTGTTTTAATCTTTTTAAATCACATAATTTCAAAAATTAGAATAATTGCATCGATCTGTTATTGTCGCTCGTTTATAGAGGACGTGTAACTTCTCTGACCCGGATTTAATTCAATATGTTCTGCTGTCATTAACGAACCCTGGAGTATAAAATGGAAAATAACATGCAGGTCAATCATCTATATATTTCCTCACTTAGCGAACCTCTGGCTGTTCTCCTCGCTCCGTCAGAACAACAACGAACAGGAGAACAGATTCACAGCGACAGGCCTGCGGGCTGTCACACAACAGCAAATCAATCTGCCAGGCGACAAATATAGGTTGTCTTATTACTGGCAACTGGAACGTACTGTCATCAGTGAAAGATGGAGGAAGAGGAGGAAGAGGAAGGATGTGTGGAGATGAAGGTGCTTCGCTGTTGATACCTTCAGTTATTCGGTTCTGTAATGACAGCTGTTCTCTCCGCGTGTGTGGGTTTCTTCTTCTTTCTGTCGCGTTCGTTTAATCAGACATTTAACTTTTCATCTCTTCCTCGGAGGGAAATCTATACCCACAAAAAAAAAAAAAACCCCTGACGCTCCTCTTCACTGTCTCACAGCAGCAGCAGAGCAGCCTGACCCCATTCCTGAGCGGCTGCGTCCACATTTAGTGCACCGGTGGTTTCGTGTTGTGTTTGTGTTGTGTTGTCTCAACCAAGGACAAAGGATTGACCGAAACAATACGACAAATTCTAAATGAGAGACACAGATTTAACCTTAATTTGGCCCAATTACTGTGTGAGCAACCCCCCCCACACACACACACACCTTCGCCCTCCGTCTCACACACACAGCAGTGATGATGATGAAGATGATGATGATGTGGCAGCACCACTGATGTGCTCTGGCAGTACTGGGGCACAATTCCTGCTGAATGCCCTGAATTTTTTGCCTCCCCGTGCCCCCGTCCCCACTTTCTGTCTCAACACTCCTCTCAGCAATCACCCCGAGACCCACATACCCCCCCCCACAAACACACACACACACACACACACACACACACACACCACCCCCATCTGTGGTCGAGTTTCTCCCCCATCTCGTCACGCTAAGCCTGCTGTTTTGAGGTGTGTGGACACTGGATGTGTAAAATGAAGAGAAAAGCTTCTAGCTATTGTTTGCAAGTCTGCTGTATGATATATATATATATATATATTTACATACACAGAAATGTGCACAAACCATACATATATAATGTATAATAATAATAATAATATAAAAGCTGTGTATTGTTAAACACTGTTGAGTTTTTAATTAAAGAGTTTTTGGAGTTTTGGCGCTGATACCAACATTTCTAATTGGAAATCAGGGGAATGGCAAGAAAATACAAAACCCAGGAAACGGAGGCAGATTAGACCCAGAACCACAAATTATTTTCATCATAGATTTATCTTCTTATCTTCTTGATTTAAAAGATCATTAATTCAAAACAATTCTAGTAAAATATCTGATTACTCCTCTGATGGCCGGCTGGTAAAGACTTTGTTGAGATCCATCACCCACTTCCAGCACGTGTAGGAAATGTCAGCCTCCGCTCTCGCTTTACCTGGCGTTGCTTAGGGGGTGTGTCAGACCTGTAAGTTTGCATTATGGGTATTTGCAGAACTTCACATTCACAAAACACCTAAATAACACACTAGATGAACGCCACAACAAAATGCAGGGTTGTTCAGGCAGTTTTAGTCGATGCAAAGATGAAACCTTTGTCATAATGTGTGTCGTATTTCTGCAGGTCTGTTGGGCAGCGTTCGCTTCAATGGCTCTTCCCAGAACTACAGCACCCTCCTGCTGGAGGAGGAGGCCGGGCGGCTGTACGTGGGAGGCAGAGGAGCTTTGTACACACTCAACACCTCCAACATCGCCACACCTGGAAACCTCACAGTGAGTGCAGACACGCCGCAGCGAGCCACAATTCCCCTCAAAGAAATGAGCAAACCCCGTTTCAAAATGATCGAAGGACGACAAACTAATAGCTGTAAGCAGATTGAGAAAATCCCATTGTGCGCCTGCAATTTTATGGATATGGGATTAAATGTGAGGAGAGGCACAACTCTGTGACGCAGCCGGAGGTTTGAATGTGTTGTCCTTCTTCTCTGGCTTCCTGTTTTTCCACACACATCCAGAGATCTATTTATTTCTATTTATTGAGCTACCTGACTCCCCCCCCCCGCTACCCCCTGTTGTGTGCAGATTGATTGGGATGCATCCCCTGAACAGAAGAAGCAGTGTCTGAACAAAGGAAGAGACAATCAGGTATGAGACTGCAGCCCAACACTCTTATTAATATTATCATCATTAACATAAGTGAAACACGTATGATCCCTTCAGTTGCTTCTTAATCCTCCTGCTACTCCGAGCAACTAAACCGGAGCTTGAGCGTAGCACATTCAATTCAATTCCACGTGAAGTGGGTTTGCAGGTAACTGTTCTCTTGGTGTTTTTGTTGAGCCAGAAATAACTTGTTTTTTTCTCCGTCCTCTGCAGACGGAGTGTTTCAATCACATCCGCTTCCTGCAGCGATACAACGAGACTCACCTCTACGCCTGCGGAACAAACGCCTTCAGACCTCTCTGCGCTTATATAGTAAGAAGCTCTTGTGATTTGATTTAAGCTCGCTCATGAGCGGAATTTGAATGAAATGATTTATTTACCGGCTGTCCCTGCTCTCTCTGTTAGGACGCAGAGCGCTTCGGCTTCTCCTCGGGCTTTGAGGACGGCAGGGACCGGTGTCCCTACGACCCGGCAAAGGGATACACTGGCCTCCTCCTGGGTACGCTTCCCTCATTTGCCTTTAAAAACGCTGTGGGTGTTGTCGAAGCAGCGCAGGCGTCAACAGTGAAGAGGTTGATGAAAGGCGCTGTATCATGCTGACACTGTTTTAATCAAAGCCAAAGTTTTTGCTTATTTCAACTAATTTCTCCGCATTCGTTTTGCTCATAAACCCCAAAAAAATTGGACAAATTGAAATTTGGACGTGAAGATTTTGTTAAAACTGCGAAAGCCTCAGTTTCATTCTCTCAACTTCACTAATCGAGAGTCAGACACAAACTGTCAATCATGACGATCCACAATGTTTTTATAGCATCGAACACCTGATTAAACTTTTCAGAAACACTCGAACATCCGTCGGTGTGATGAGAACTGCCTCAAAAATAGACACCATCTTATTAGCTTGGTCCACGTCCCATCCACTAACACGGATGAGGTCTGCCTAGAGACAGACTGTACTGGGGGGGGGGGTCTGCAGGATTCATTCACATGTGGCTCCACTAAGAAAGCTTTTCTTATCTGCCTGTCAGACGGAGAGATGTTCACGGCCTCTCAGTACGAGTTTCGCAGCTCTCCAGACGTGCGCAGGAACTTCCCCTTCCCCACGCTCAGGACCGAGGAGGCCCCGACCCGGTGGCTTCTGGGTAAGTACAGCTGTTAAATGGACAACAACTCACCGCAGTCTGCCACTGGTTTATGTAGCCTCACACCAAACCTCATGGACATTTTGTCTGTTTTTAACTACAGTGTTTAGCTTTTACAACTGAAACTCAATAAATACCGTGTAAAAAAAAAAAACTTTGCACTGCATTGCAGCTGTAACTGTAAATCACCATCTTTAGTTTCCAAGGAGACACTGTGCCGGCTGCTCATAGGTCTGGTCTGAGTATGTGGATCTGTGTGTGTGTGTGTGTGTGTGTGTGTGTGTGGGCAGAGGCGGACTTTGTGGGCTCGGTGCTACTTAAGGAGAGTGTCAACAGCTCCATCGGGGACGACGACAAGATTTACTTCTTCTTCACGGAGAGAAGCCAGGAGCAGGTTGCCTACCCGAGCCAGACCAAGGTGTCCAGGGTCGCCCGAGTCTGCAAGGTCAGAGCGAGGAACCGAGCGAACGTTAATGGGCTCAGAGAGTTAAAAGTGTAGATGGAGATTTTCTGCTTTCAGCTGCCGTCCTGCTCCTCTGGTCATGTCGCTGCCGTATGAACCAGCAGAAGGTCGTCTCTATTGGTTTCTTCTCTTTCTGTCGCCACTGTTGCCAGGCAAACTACAAGCCCAACAACCTCCACCTCTAATGGCAGCCCCCCCCCCCCCCCCCCCCCCCCCCCTCCTCCTCTTTTTCCCTCTCACCTCATTTCACTTGCGATCAGCATCTCCGGTCCAGACAGCGCCCGTTCCTCGAGGTCCGTCTTCCTCTCTTTCCTGCTCCCTGCCGTTTCTTTTATCTTTCTCATGCCGGTGTAATTACGTCAGATCACAGTTTGCTGCTGTGCTGAAACTACTCTCTCAGTTTTTTTTATGTTCAGAAATAAAGATTTCACATTAAACACCTTTTGTGAGATTGTGAAAGGAACTCGCAGGAAACGAGATTTGATCGGATGTTGGCGTTAACGGCCAATCAGAGTGAGTTACGCTGCCAGGACCGGTGGACAATGATTCTGGCAGGTAACTGGCTGTGTTTTTCTGTTTCAGACCAGCTGGAGATGATAATTCCACAGATTTATGATTTAATTTCTTGTATCCAAGCTTCTCCTGGAGCTGTTCCACTGCAATTTATAGCCCCTTTTACGAGATAGGAATATATATAACATCTCCGGCTTCATCTATCGATATTATATATTCCTATTTATCGCACAGAGACATGTTCTGCTAGACATTGATTTATTCGTCAATACCAATTTGAGTTTTCTACAAGAACTCTAATCAATTCATTCTCGGTGTTTGGATTCTTGTATGAGTGGAAGAAGTTCAGACTCTGCATGTTTCTCCTGCAGCTTCACCTCAATCTGACTCCATCCAGTTCAGACTTGATTAAAATGAAATATAAATTACACTCTGACCTTGTAATTGCAGCTGTGACTTTAACGTAAAGTGAGTCGTAAAAGTGACAACGGCGCTTGTTCGGACATGACATCGCAATTATGTAACACGGTGCGTAACTCAGAGGGTTTTCTGCAAGTAGCTCGTTTGTCTTGTGCAACAAATTGAGGGTCATCATCTTAAAACCTGCTCGGAAGTGGTTTCTAGTTTGTTTCTGTAACTTTAATCTGACACACTGAGGGAATAATTCTGCACGATATATATATATATATGTGTGAAATACAATTTTTTGCAGGAATCCTGCCCAAGTTGGCAGCACATTAAAACATTGATAAACTTTTTACCATCCTCAGCAGACAGGCAATACTCAGCACAAACGCTGTAGATACCACTTACACTGTGCACCTTCACGTTAGCATTCAGTTCTCGGCAGGTAGACGGAGCGTAGCTTAACACGCCCCTTCTGTGTCACAGCGACTAATCAGCTTCAAGAATGAATCATCTGGAGAATCCCTCCTACTAAGATCTGTTATCTTTATATAATCATAAACATTCCCTTCGTGCAGCCATGTTCCACGATGCCCTTTTTTTTCACCACAAAGGGTAAAAAACAGCTGCAGGCAACGAGATAATTAATGAATTTGTTGAACTTTAAAATCACATCCACCCAACGCGTCATGTTCAAGTTATAGTCCCCGTATCTAAAAGAAGTCGTTTCTGGAAATAAGGTCTGGCCTCCTCTCTTCATCAGCTCTGTGGAGTTGTCGGGGCACTGGAGAGTCTAATAACTCAGTCTGAATTAGGCCACAGCGTCGCATGCAGATGTCGAGCTGCTCTCCGGCTCAGCCCTCGTTTGCAGCCAGACTCCAGGCTGGTTGGAGGCAGATCTGCCCACGGTGACGCCCCCTGGCAGTCGCCTCTGGAAACCACTGACGACGTGCCATTTTTGAGCTGCCTAACTAGTCGTCCTCCCCCTCTTCTCTGCTCGTCTCCGACTTTCTCTGCCATCGCAACCTATTTTCACAGAGTGTTTTTCAGTGACACAGACAGAAGTCTGTGCCATTTTAGACGTTTTATATTTAGTTCCGTTTGTCAATGAACACAGAAAAAAGAGCCAATTTATTATTTTCTATATTATAACTTCAAAAACCAGCATCACGTTAAACAACCATCTCCTCCTCCAGGGATAATTTATCTACAGATCTGTACGATCACCCGATGACCCGGCTGTGATTGACGTAGATTGTGATCCATCAGATCCCTTCAGCTCTTTCCACAATAATAACCTGGAACCGTAGGAATCTTTTCTGATGTTCTCTCTGTAGCATCCATCTCACGGCCGGCTCTCTGGAGACTGTGTTCTGTGAAAGTTGATGCATTCGTCTGCAGTCCCTTCCTTCCCTTTGTTTCTCTCTCATTCTGCTAATTCAGTTGGTATTTTCGATGGAAGTGCTCCTGACGCCGACATTTTAGTTTTAGATACTTCTGTGTAATGACGATTTTAAGCTGCTTTGTCTTTTTGTGTGGGAGGCCGAGGCAGGCAGAGCGATTTGATGAACGACAGATCTCTGCGGAAGACGTAAACAAAGACAGAGGACGCTCTATAATTCCCTCACTTTAAAACGAGGTGTGCTAAATTACTCTTTTAGAGAGAGATTTCCTGCAGCTTCGCCTCCCATGGCTACAGAAATGCAATTAGAGCAAATGTGCAAGAGTCGGAGTTAGAAGTTTCAGCTCCACTTACATAAGACTCAACCTTTCTCTCTACCTTTCTCTCTACCTCCTCTGAGTATAATTAGGAGTAAATCATGATTTGACTCTATCGGTGTGTAGACGTATGTGTGTCACTTTTTATTACAATCAGATTACTTGCTATTGACGTATATATGATGAACGAGTGGGCGGAATCTGTGTGGTTGGAAAGTGTAAATGCCAGAATATATCATCTCAAGCGAGTGACTTGATCTTGGCATCCATTGATTTCTTCCCTCCGCTGTTTCCTGTGTCTGCAGACTGACTGGGGGGGCCAGCGGACCCTACAGAGGAAGTGGACCTCGTTCCTCAAGGCCAGAATGGTTTGTTCGGTCCCGGAATACGAGCTGCACCTCAATATCCTGCGCAGTGTGTTTGTGCTGCAGGGTCGGGACGCTCAGAGCAGCATTTTCTATGGCGTCTTTGGCCTTGAGTGGTAAGACACAACATTAAATTCTGATTTTATAGAGCGATGAAGTCGAGACGTCTCTGGTTGCTGAACCTGTATGGAGTTCTGTTTTTTGTGTCCGGGCCCGAGCCCAACATGCAGACCTGAACCTTTAAGCTCTCAGTGCTCGTTGTGCACAAGCAATAAAAAGATTAATAGTGAATTAAAATCATTACTTCAAATTCTAGGTGAGTTGTTATTGAGTGAGCCGAGCTGCAGTCGGAGGAGGACGACGGCTGCGATGAGAGTGTGTGTTTATGCTGATGTGCAGAGTCATGCTGCATAAAACTGTCCCAAGGGTGTTTAGATTCTGATGTAGCCGTCTCCGCAGCAACGAGGCCATAACACTCTGTTTCTTCTTGTTTTTTTCTCATTTCTTCGATATTCGATGCTCCTGTTCACTGCAGCAGCCGTGTCTCCAACCTCATGTTTCTTTCTTCCACTTTCTCTCTCTCTCTCTCTCCCTCCGCCTCATCTTGTCTTTCTATACGTTGGATTCCCTTTTAAAAACACACACCTGTGTGAGTGCCAGTCATCACCGTGCATTAGTGTGGGTGTGCATGAATGAGTAAACCCCCCGGGCGACACCGCTCCCCAGATTTAAAGACAGATTCTGGTTTCACATCGACCTCACTTTCCTCACTTGAATGCCTTTGAAGGCTGAGGTGGGCTCACAATGGACATAAGAATGTGACGCACACATTTCCCCCTCATTACTAATCTTACCTTCAAGGCATAAGATTAAGGGTCACCTGGCTGCCGACTCGCGACTCATGCTGCTGTTATGTTGACAGACGAATCTTTGCTCCACGAAAAAACCACGAAAATGGGGCAGTTTCATTTCTGACTCACGGGGAGTGGAGGGGTTATTTCAGCTCTGAGAGAAGTCTGCCGAACAAATACGTCCCTCTGGAGAGGATGATGGGAAGAGCCACTGGAGATAAAGAGGGAGAATTACACACCTCCACTCTGACGTGTCCATACAAGACAGACAAATGATCAAATCCAAGAGCAAAATGTGATTGTGAAAAACAAAACCTCAACACCCGCAGTGTTCAGAGGCCTCTCAGCGTCAGTGGTCACTGACGATCTGTTTGAAATTCGATCCCGGTGGCTGTTGCTCCTCAGACAATAACCTCAGTGTTTATTCATCTTTGAATCGTTAATCCTGAGCGTGTCCTCCGGGTGGGGTATTGTCTTTCAGGAAGAATATCAAGGCCTCTGCGATCTGCCAGTACGCCTTCTCAGAAGTGCACAAGGTTTTCGAGGGGCCGTACATGGAGGTGCAGGACTCAAAGTGGAGGGAGTACACGGGGAAGGTGCCCGAGCCGAGACCTGGATCTGTGAGTGTAAAGTTAAACCTCTCCTCTCTTTCCCCTGTTCAAACGAAGAACACGGATCATTTCTGTCTTTCTCCTTTTTTCTCAGTGTATGACAGATGTGCACCGGTCCCAGGGCATCAACTCGTCTCGTGATCTCCCAGACAATGTCCTCACCTTCGCCAGAAGGCATCCACTCATGGCCGGCCAGGTGCACCCAGTGGGAGTGCGCCCCCTCTTGTTCAAGAGGAGCGTCAACTATGTCAAGATAGTCGTGCACAGGGAGCCGGCACTGGATGGAAGCATTTATACCGTCCTGTTTTTGGGAACTGGTGAGTCCAACACCTCAAAAACCAGTGAATGAATTGATCCTATCTGAGTGTTTGTTGTTTGATCCCAGTGTGTTGTTTGACGAGGTTGTGTCTTCTCCTGCAGATGACGGCTGGCTGCACAGAGCTGTGGACATCAACGGAGATGTGCACATCATAGAAGAGCTGCAACTGTTTGACAAACCTCAGCCCGTAGAGAGCTTGGTCATATCCACAGCTCAGGTATGTTTTCACGTACGCTAAACTAACAAGGGTTTCAATGGCCGATATCATAGTAGATCAAGCTGTTTTAGGTTATTAGGTATAAATGTATTTTACCTGTTGTAAATGTTATTTTCTTTGTTACGCAGCGGAGCATCTACGTGGGCTCACACTCTGGAGTCGTGCAGGTACCGATGTCAGCCTGTGGGAGATACACTTCCTGTTATGACTGCGTGTTCGCCAGAGACCCGTTCTGCGGCTGGGACGGGAGGGCGTGCGTAGAAATATCTTCACGTGCACAGAGGTGAGGTGGACACCAACGTGCACATTCTCCAGTAACGAAGCAAACACACAAACTGTGTTATAAATGCAATTATACTTGAG